GATCTTCGCCTATATCCTATAGGCCTCTATGTGTCAATTGAATAGGCTACTCGCATTCACAGCGAGAGGTTGCAAGTTCGAATCTCACCAGGCACCTTTTTCATAAAACTGAAATAAATACATATTTAACTTTTCGTTGATGAGCTATTATTACATCTTCCTACTCGAGCACTGCTGTTATTTATCTATTTGTTGATATTTTCTTTAGGGTGCTATGCAGCAAACTTGATTTGAATATTAAGTACACAATAAATCGATGTCAGTCATTGACTCTTGGAACATAAAATGTTATTAAAACAAATATTTCAAACGTGCCTGCGTTCCTCTTTAGTGTTCAGTGACTACACACACACACACACCCCACACCCACATAATATATATATATTATATATACATGTATATATACACATATATATATATATTATATATACATGTATATATATACATACATATACATATATATATACATATATATAAATATATATATATACATATATACATATATATACATATATATATACATATATATATATACACACCAACATGGCAGTAATTAACTAGTTGTTATCTTGATGTCCATTGATTGGACAATTGGTTTTATAAACTTTGTATAAAAATATTGAGAAGAAAAAAACAGACACAATAAAATCAATACATTAGCCATCAGAATTTTAGTAGTTTGTTAAAATGTTTATTCTTTTTTCAAAGACATTCTGTTCAACTATCACACCATATGAAAATAAAACATCAAACAGAGTAAAACAAGAGAAAAATCAACACCCATACGTTCCATAGCTTATGTGTGAATCTATAAACGGTATCATAAATGAAAATGAAAACGAATATTTATATCTAAATTTTAATCTGTGGAATATAAACATTTTGTGTAATACCTTGTTAGGTGTTTAAAAAAAAAACTAAACCCCAGGAAGTGTAATTTAGTTATTATTGGGCCTGGACTTTGATTCAACGACATGAGCCAAACAAATATTATTGATGGGATTAATATCATTATGATCATTAAACACATGATAAGCAAGCATAGAATTATGACCTACTCTATGCTGCAGACTTGATAAACAGCTATTTCATGTTTCTCACACCCAAAACAAATATATTAAAAATAATTTAATAACATATTAATCAAAATTAAATTATTACAGCAATAATCAAATTAAATTAATTAAATAACCAATCAAATAACAGCACCTTATTGGAGGATTCTTCAGTTCTGAAAGAAATGCTTTGCAAGGGAGTTCCTTGGGCCTGTCTCTTATACACATCTAGATGTGCAGCATGAAACAGTATTTACACATGTATGCACTCACTGACCTTAATCTGTGGTTGGTCCATGGGGGGGGGGGAAGGCACTGGGTTTTTACAGCCAAAAATTGAGAGCCACATCCCTCGTGCTCTACTGTTTTGTAACCACCTCCGTATTCCACCTCATGAAATAAACTATTTGAAATCAACACATTTTAAAAGAAATTAACATCAAATATACATTTTTTGGATCTAGGAATTCCGTAAATAATAAAATAAGCGTCTCTTTAAAAAAAGAGCTGCAACAAACATAATTCTGTTTTCACTAAGCACTGCTCCCTAATGCTCCCTACTGTATATTCTTTTCCAAAAAAATGTTGTGGCATTTAATTAAACATGGCTTTATCACTATTATACAACCAATTTCTAACATTGCAACAAGTTAGATAGGTTTATGTACAACATATAGTATTATTTTGACAATCCAATCTCCACATTTTTTTAAATGCTTTAACTGCCTGTTGTTTTTTTTTGTAGGATTCTTTTTCTATTATAATTTATAAAACATTGAGTTAAAAAATATTGCTTCATTATGCTGCTGGTTAAAACACAATAATTCCATTGTTAGCTGCTTTGTTACTCTATGTACATCTCCAGCAGTATTTATCATGGAACGTTCTCATCCAATAAACTATTAAATGGTTTTCTACATACATTTTATCAAGAACATTTTAGATTATCCTTTTAAAAAGTAAATAATTACTATTTTCTTTTTAAAAATAAATAGCAGAGATATCTGTATTATGGATATAAGCAATAGAAATGTTACATTCAAATCAAACTGAATTAGTCAATTTCATATTAACTGGCATCAAATTAAGACCACTTCTTAATTGATTTCAACAGTGTATTGGTTAAGAATAAAGCTGTAAAATAAACCATTATTCTTTTAACTTAGATTTTGAATCATTCACATACTTTGAACATCGATAAGTTGGACTGCAGAATGTACTGTATGTAACAAACTCTGAAGAATCATAATGTAATGAATTATATTCATAATATTAGTAATAATAAGTGCTTGCAGTACAACACATACATATCAACCATTAATTGTCATTGTGACTTCGCCATGCAATAACAATAATAATAAATAATAATAATAATAGAACTAATAATAACAATATTGTCTAGTTATCGAATGTATGTTATATAACACTTTACATTAAAAAAATACTAGAAAAGTTTGTACATATAGACAATGTCAGTTCATGTTATGTAGCAAATAACTGATTTATGTAACTATAGCTAATCATCAATTTATATTAGTTAATTAATGATTTAATTTATATCCATTAAGATTCTTTGCTGATTTTGGAATGAACAATTATATATAAAAAACATTAAATAAGATAACATAAAATAAATATTAAGTTAAAATCAATGTTGAAGTTCAAATCAGAATTCAAATCAAATGACGTGTAAGGCTATCTACTGGTAAAGTAATAATGGATGGACATAAGAAAACCATGTTTTTACCCTAGTGGTAGGCTGGGAGGGTAAATAACATACATTCTTTAAGTTACAAAATAGTTAACAAATGCCTACTACTATATAGTCATGTAATATGTATAATCCAATCAAATTACTCAAACATATCAAGATAGGTGATACTCATGCACCCGTCACTATCATTTCTTTATGACCAATGTTAAACCATTTGTTATTAAATTAATACATGGTAAACGTAAACATTAGATTTATTTTTTGAAATTCATCAGTCAAATGGGATTTACTTCTATTCAATTCTACGCATTCACTTCAATTCGTACATATTTTGCTTTTCATATCTAAGTCAATGTTAAGTGCCATTTTTGATCAAATACGCTATGTTTTGGTGTACGGAACTGGCAGATAAAAAGTGATGGAACTAAATATGCTGCTGTATTTTGGCTTCTAACAAAAATGCATTCTTCTATAGAAATTAGCTGATGTATTAGCATACAAAAACAAACAACAATCATTAAAACTTGAAAACAGAAATATAAACGTAGCAAACATGTTTGACGCATGATGCCTGATGGTCAAACTACCACTCACTTCTGGGCGTTTCCCCTCGGTTGGCGATCTGAGGAGCCGGTACCTCTCGCCTGTGCTTATGCTGCTTTCATCTCTTCGTCATCATTGCTTAGTGATGATGCAATTTTTTCATATTTCAAACGCAGATCGATTTCTACGCATGCTTCTCATCACTGCTTGATTTTAGCCCATTTGCTGAAGCTGACAATATCCTTGACCGGTACGTTCCGATTCAACGCTTTCACCCGTAAGTTACGGTCATCAGTCAGTAGAACTACTTCCCTTCGTAAGCATATGGGTGCATCTAAATATCATTACACAAACAGGTTGTAGAGTATGATACAAATTAGGAATTTTATTTTAATTCTATTTATGTCAACACAGACTACATATTGTATAAAAAAAACATATTGGTGCTGTATATAATTAAATAATAAATCTAATAAAGCATTTAACATGATGAGCAAAAAGGAGAACTTACCCTTTTCTTTTGGCATATAGTCCCTTGCTTTATCTGAACAGTAGTATAGGCAGCAGTTCAGTATTAAGTCATCATTGTTTCCCTATACAAAAATAAACCAAAACAATTAATATTTCAACAATTCCATTTCTTGCAATAGAAACCTATAAAATTATTGATAATTACAAAAGGTAAACTTAAATCCATCTAAGCACATATAGAACATACAAATATTATATGTGGTACATGCAATAAATAAATAAAATAAAATAAATAATAAAAAATAATAATAAAATTAACTGAACTATGACCTTATCGGCTTAGTAAAACTGACTAGCCTGGTATGTTCTCAAGAGCACTCTCTTCTTGGCTAATCTCACTGCATGGCTTGGGTAACCTAATCAAGGTTACAGGATGTTTGTACTGAATCTATTTTGGCTACACTAACCTGCCTTGTTAGGTGTTTAAAAAAAAAACTAAACCCCAGGAAGTGTAATTTAGTTATTATTGGGCCTGGACTTTGATTCAACGACATGAGCCAAACAAATATTATTGATGGGATTAATATCATTATGATCATTAAACACATGATAAGCAAGCATAGAATTATGACCTACTCTATGCTGCAGACTTGATAAACAGCTATTTCATGTTTCTCACACCCAAAACAAATATATTAAAAATAATTTAATAACATATTAATCAAAATTTAATTATTTACAGTAATAATCAAATTAAATTAATTAAATAACCAATCAAATAACAGCACCTTATTGGAGGATTCTTCAGTTCTGAAAGAAATGCTTTGCAAGGGAGTTCCTTGGGCTGTAAGAGCTCGGATATGTCGGTTTCGTTTCTCAAACTCATCCTCTAAGTATTCTACTGCTTGTGTAGAGCTACGTTGCACCATCATCGCATGCCCAGAATTAGCAAACTGATCCTCACGACCTCCTTTTGAAAGACCATCCAACTCGGTGATCACTGCAATCATTATTGAAATAAATTTGTTTAATACTACTGAATATATTTTGATTAAATAAGAAATATTTTTAAATTATTCTCTGACAAGTGCATAAGAATAGTACAATCTATTGGTTAGCCCAGGGGGAGGGGGGTGTTGGTTTAATTTATGAATGATTGAATGAACGATAAATGAATGGATTAATATATGGATGAATAATGGATCAAAATGGATGGATGAATGCATGGACAAATAAATGACTGATTGATCCAATTAATGAATGGATGAGAAATTGAATGAATAATTAAAAATAAATAAATAATTGAGGAATAAATGAATAAATGAATGATCAATGATATTATTAAAATAAATGAATGATCGGTTAAAGTTTTGCTTTTTATTTATTAATTTTAACAAAGAAAACTAATTACGATCCACTCACCCACAAGTGGCACCACCAGAGTGTACCTCTTGGATTCCACCAGACACTGGATAACCTGCAGGTGGTCGATGAAGCAGTTAGTGTCTGGAACCAGATAGGTCGGAGAGATCTCCAAGACTAGTTGCCGCTGTGTTCGATGACTTTCGACAATTGCCTTTAGATAAAAAGCGGAACAAAACAAACAATTTGAAAGAAAGATGATAAATTTATCAAGCAAAGAGCAGTAGTCTATATAGTGAAATACATAGTGAAATAAAATTTAATGAAAAATGCCAAGCACACACACACACACACAAAAACCCCACAATTATCATCAAGAGCAAGCAAGCCACCAACTAACAGGCTAACCTGATCAAATCTTAAGAAGAATGTTTAGGGTGGGTATATTATAATTAATTTTCCTTCATATCTTTTTCTACAAGATGCATTAAACTAATTTAGTTGATGCTGTATATGCGTACCTCAATTTCCCTTTCTTTTCGATATTGTTCCTCTAATTTTTTCTGGAGCTGCTCTTTATGTTCTTTCAACAGCCTGATGTTTCCATCTTCTCCTTCAACTTCCTCAACAAACACTTCACCTTCTCCAATCACCTCATTCTCCTACAAGAGAAAAAAAAAAAACAAGATCACGTAAAGTCTGTGTAAAGAAAATGATTTAATACTAGAAATTGCAAATTGCAAGTGAAGTGCTGCAAAGTACAACTGCATAAAATGTTCTTCGAACAAAATTATTTATACGAGTCAAGTGAAAATAATGAATA